ATGTGTATGTGATTGTGCACATTTGTCTGCGTTTGCCTATATATATGTGTATATGTTTAATTGTGAGAGTGTGCACTTTTGTCTGTATTTGTCTATATATATGTATATGTGTGCATGATTGTGCACTTTTGCCTGCATTTATGTGTGTGTGTGTGTGAACTTTTGTCTGCATTTGCCTGTGTGTGCATACATGCACACCTGTCTTTCTGTCCAGGGTTACCATAAAGGGGGGAGGGGAAGAGCTAGGATGATTCCATGGGCCTCTGCTTGACAGGGGCCCTAAAAAATTTAGAACATAATTGGATTGGTCTGGGTTGGGAGCCCACAATCTCTAGTGGTACCCCTGCTCCCCTCCGGGCCCTGTGATATCAGCGGCTCTTCGCCTTTCCTGCGCTATACTTCAAAGCTTTAGATCAGAAGAGTTCCAGGTCACAGGGAAGCAGAACATTAAAGGGGGCAAGAAAGTAGCATGGACTTTCTTCGTGGCAAAACACTGTAATGTTACTAAGCATTGATGAGATCAAAGAGTAACATGTTGTGTAACAATGTTTTCAAATATGAAAATGATTAAAATGTGAAAGGTGATATCAGTAATAGTTTTACACTCCTAATGCACAAAGTAGTAACATTTTAGGAGAGAGAATTATTTTGTTTATGATACTGCAAAGCGTCCCCTGCACTTGCTTGTGATTGGATAATGTCCATCTGCCTATCTGTGATTGGCTCAGGTCGATCAACATCCTCGTCCGGGGGCTCCATCCCTTTCAAAGCCATTCCAAAATCACTCAGCGTTGACTCTGGGGGCCTAAGTCAGCACATGGGACTCAATCCATCTCTGGCAGCCCCGGTTTCACAGGACCGGTACGCTGCTCTGTCCCAGCTGGACAGCGTCTTCTCTGATTCCAGCTCACCTGTGACAGGTAAGACCCTGCACTCATGTCATCAACATAACCAGAGCCAGAGAGATGGAGAGGGAGTCGCATCAGGAATGTCATACAGAGTGTTTTTAAAACCGCTTATTTATAGCTAGCGAGAGATATCAAGCATTGTTGTGAGCTCAGCTTTCTTCATTATTAAATGCTTATTGGTTTTAACGATACACACAAGCCCTGTGACAGAACAAAAAACACAGACTATAAATAAATTCACGAACAAGTAAATAAATAAAATACGGAGAAGTCAAGCACAAAGAACCAAAATGCGAAGAAAAGGGATACATTAAAAGAAAACGAAATGGATGGCAGGGAAAACATACTGCAACCCTCATCAGGAAAAGTGGTGGGATCGTGATGATGATGATGATGATGATGATATAAACAGATCGGAACCAGCCTTCCCACCCTCTGACAGCACACAATTAAGGCTGTGCTGCTGTTTTCTGCTGCAGACAGCACTTTACAGCACTCTTACCATGTAAGACCTGCCTGGTCTCGCTCCAGAGTTCCTTTGTGTCAGAGTCAGATGGAGAGAAAAACAACCAAATATGTCTGAAGGTTTCTCCTCTTGGTGAAGCTTGCAGTTTTTCATTTAGGAGGTCTTTTTAAGATTTCCTCATACCACAGCCGCACTGTGGGGGGTGTTTTTGGGCGATTTAAGCAAAATGCTTTTTACACCTATAAATAATGACCTTTGGAAGATGTATGTCAGAGAGTGATGTGTCAATGCCGCAATGATGGATCTATAGCGACAGTACAGACAAAGATCTTTTCTAATTTCTTATTGACCTTATTCCAAAACCAAGATCTCACTGGGCAGGACACTGCTAATGTTTGTGGAAATTAAATTACCTTTGTGAATTTATTTAGTTAAGAATATCGAGTACAATGGAGACAGGCCTGCCTTTTTTGAAGCCCATTGTGTTGAAATTTTTAAAATAATTGAACAGGTTAAAGAAAAGTACCCTACAGCATGAGGTGAGAACATGTTCAAATTATTAAAAAATAAATCCACGCTTGCTTTTAAGCCCACATGAAACAGAATACATGATGACTTTTATTAGACTTGAAAGTGCTGCACTTTTGACCTTCCTGCATGTTCCAACAGCACCCTCTGGTGGATTTACGCAGGGCAGCACGCTGTTTGGCAACAGGTTGTCTTCGAGTTCTACTCCAGCTAGGTAACAAAGTAGAATGTATATAAGCTGTGGCCGACTTAAACCTAAATGTTTCACTGTGTGACTATACACTGACAGCAACCTCTCCTTCATCTCTCCCTGTTGTTTCCTCTCTGTTCACCAGCTCGCCTGGTATAACGGATCCAGTCTCCAGTCCGCATGTGTTCTCAAGTAAGACACCTTGCAGCACACATTTGGTGCATTCTGTGGTCCTTTCTGTGTTTTGGTTGTATGTAAAAGTTCCAGTTTTTATTTGATGGATAATAATTATTCATGTCAGTCACGGTGATTCTACTGGTGTTACAGCTTCTTACGTGAGATCTTTATCTCTAGGTTTTCCCACCCCCTTCTCGACCTCAACTGGCCCCCAGGCCTCCTTATCTCCCAGCAACCCTTTCAGCACCACGCTGGCAGGTAAACACGGTGCCGTGACTGTGTGTGTGTGTGTGTGTGCGTGTGTCAGCATGTGTCCCCGTGGTCAAGCATTCTGCTGATTTCCCCCCCCCCCCGGCAGGTGACTCTGTTCGCGGGGCTCCAGCAGCCTTCCCCCAGTCAGTGAGCTTCCCCGCCGCCAGCGGCCGAAACGTGTTTGCCCCGCAGTCGACGAGCACTCAGGAGGCCAACGGTACGTATGGTGCCACCCCGAGGATCGCATGACCGCCCAACATCGGCGCCCATTGTATCACGTTCCGTGGTTTCCATAGGAACGGTGCATATGAGAGGCACGCCGGTTACATGCTACGGCAGGAGATATTTTTACCTCGATGCAGTGACTTCTGTGGCGCGTAAGCCGTTTGACCCACTAGCACTCCTAACCCCAGAGCACCTCATGAACACTGACAGCTGTGTGACTGGGATTACCAGTCAGGGTACCGGCCCTTGATTCTCCAGTGAGCGGGCCGGTGCTGTGCCGGCGTGTCTGGCTCCAAATGGGCGCGGTGACCGAGCCAAATGGGCTGGAACACCCTTTCCCGCTAGTGTCTCCTTACTCTTGTGTCTGCCTGTGTTTGGCCATATAGGTCTTGCCTCCGTTCCTGCCCCAGAATCCTGCCCAAGACCTGCCCGTCCTGTATCTGTCAACCCTTTCACCGTGAGTAACTTCACCCCCTCCCCCCACGCACTTGCTTGCGTGCTAATTTATTATGTAGCCATTATTTATGAGGAGATTTATACAAGCACTGACAAACTGTTATCTCTCTCGCCCTCTCTCTCTCTTTCTCTCAGGGGAGTGTATATCCACGCAAAGCGGCCTCACGGAACCCTTTCATCTGATTCCACACCCAGCCAAGCCACACATCAGGTCACAGCAAACGGGTTTGGGTATGAGGAGAAGAGTCGCTGGTTTTATAGCACTTTCCAAGCGCTTTAGCATGGGTAGTGGTCAGCTGCAGTACCCCCACAAACAAGTAGAGGGCAGACATCAGCGGCACTACCTGACCAAAGTCCACCACACCCCAAAACCTCAGGCTTACTGCCATTAATGACCTGTGTTATTCCTTTTCATCAGCTTCACACACATTTGTACCACATTGTAATAGACTACTGCTTGCTTTTGAGTATTTTAGATGTGGAATTTTAAGAAGGAAACACGAAACCATGTAGATGAAGATAAAAGCAGATGACTGAGTATATTTCTGATCTGAAGACTATTTTTACCAATAAAGATATAGAAATTCCACCAATAATGCACGACAGCTACTCATTAAGAACAGCTTTCCCATGTATTATATGTATGAAGCTTTTGTATTTTAGTTTTTAAATGCATATGTACAGTTTCAATCTGCATGTACCTAAACTATTCAAATGCTATTGAATGTAAAGTGGAACAATAATTTTAAAATGATTAACATGTTGTAGAGGACCAAACTATTATTTTTCCCCTGGTGACTTCAGAAAAAAAGCCTATATGGAAATTATGGATGATGTATAACTATAAATTATAAATACTTTGGTATATTAGGATATCCTTTAAGATTGATATGGCACGTGTTGTTTTTTTTTCTTTTGGGGGGAGGGGGTTCTTGGAAGTTGTAGGTGTATCTACTATCCAGCGTCTGCTTGAGCAGCCCATCGGAGCAGGAAGGTGATGTTAAAACATGAAAAGTCATTCAACTTCTGTTATGTGAGCCTGGCTGTATTTAGAATGGGTCTTTGACTCACGCTTTGTTATCAAAAACCTCGCCCCTATTATGCCATCGGTTTCAATTTTCCAGAAAATAAAGCGATGTATTTCCCAATGGGATTTTGTTACTACTTATTATTTCTGAACTTGCAGCTTGTGTGCACCTCTTCGGCCCTATGAGCACATTGTCGCTTAGTTAAAGGCGTTATTAAGTATGCATTTTCTTCTTGGTTTTTGTAGTACGCAGTGTGTTTTGTTCAAAGTCATCACTGACGCACGTTGATTACTGCCGGGAATATAAGAGAAGTGATAATTAAAAAGCATCATCCCTCTTTCACTTCTCATCTACTGCTGCAAACTGAATATATGTAGTAGCGATAAATGACCGGCAGACGTCGTAAAGTCACACAAAAATGATCAAAAATAACGATATAGCAAAAAAAAAAAAACATTTCGACCACACGGATAACAAATACTATAGTAGATTATGTATAATCAATTATAGACTTAGGGACAGAAATTAACAAATCTTTATGGTTTTTTTTTTCATGAAAGACTAAAGTATAAAGCATATTGACGTTTATCTGCATTTATTTGCTGATCTACAATTCGATGATTTTTTTTAGCAAAAAATGTCGACATGTTCATTCTTTGAGTGAAAACTTGAAAAGCAACGTGTGCGTTTCATTTACACCAATGTATGAAAAAAATGCGCCCATGTGGCCGCGTTGAATGCAACGCAGATAAAGGTTTGTCCAAGGTTATCAGCAAAAGTATTACACGCGTCAGCACTCCCTCCCTCCAAATATTCGGTAACCGGTGGGTTGGTTCTGTTTAACTAACTTGCATTTTGTAACTTACTGTGCGCGGCCCCGAAGACGGACTCGGTTGGACTGAAATACGACGCCCGCACAAGGGCAGGACTTAATGCGCCTCCGCTCTCCGGCTGTTTCGCATTCACGGACGCGCATTGACTGACAACCCTTCGCAGTAGCGCGATGTGATGGGGGGAAAGGGGGTGGGGGGCCCGCGGACGGCGTAGTCTGTACAGTGTGGTACAGTAAACGGGATTAAAGTGCTAAAAGCTGCCGAATAACATCGGCGGGCGGGTCCATGCGGATGCGCGGCGTGTGGATGCCGACGCGTGCAGCCGGGCTGGGGTTTGCGGTGCGAGCAAAATCCAACGGGAAAACTGCATTAAAAATATGCATTTTTAGAGCGCAGACGTTGAGCCTCTCTCCCTAAATGCATGTGATGACGAGAGGTAGTGCGAGGAGGGGGGAAGCAAGATGAATAAATAAAAATATTGCAGGGTAGTTCAATGGACTCATAAAACTAGCTTTAGTCAAAGTTCAGGGGTGGGAAAAAAACAAGGGGAAAGTGCGGAGCAATGGAGAACCAGGCGCCGGAGCAGCAGAGCCCCGATGACGTGCGGAAGAGCGGCTACCTCCGCAAGCAGAAATCCATGCACCGGCGCTACTTCGTCCTGCGAGCGGCCTCGGAGCGCGGCCCGGCCCGGCTCGAGTACTACGAGAGCGAGAAGAAGTTCCGCGCCAAGGCGCCCGTCCCGAAGCGCTCCGTCAGCCTGGAGACGTGCTTCAACATCAACAAGCGGGCCGACGCCAAGAACAAGTACATGATCGTGCTCTACACACGGGCGGAGAGCTTCGCCGTCGCCGCGGAGAGCGAGTCGGACCAGGGCGAGTGGTTCCAGGCCATGCTGGACCTCCAGTGCAAAAGTAAGTGTGTAGGGCGCTCGCCCGTCCTCTCGGCCGTTTTTAGACTTAAAACTACATGTTCAGTAGTCGGACCCTGTGAACGGCCCGTGTGTGTCATTGCCCCCCCTTCCCACCATCTCCAGATCGGACTCTGGGGTGGTGGGGGCGGCTTTATTTAAAATCGACCCGGCTGCTTAAAGGCGAGACGCATGGGGTGGTCTGATCGCTGTTGTCCCGCTAGCGTGGCATCAGTATTTCCCATAATAGCATATTTCTTTTGCCAAATACTACAATTAAGTTTCTTCCCCTTCTCAAATCTCTCGCTCTCTTTATAAGAATTTTTGTACTTAAGCTATTCACTACCTATGCATGCCTGCTGTGGAAAGCGTGTTGCAAACACGTTGTTGACAGGGTGGGAGGATGATCAGAAACTCGGACTTCCAGTAGGAATGGGGATGCGTCGTGCCTGCATGCACGAATGATCGTTTGCCTTTTTTGCTACTCGTGGTCACACTTTGCAGGGCGACCTTATCCCCGTCGCCACCTTGCAGGTACTTTATCGGACGGCGCACACGGCTGCGATCTGGACGAACGCGGTTGCGACACCGCCGGGGAAGGCGGAGAGGAGGGCGGGGGGACCCGAGTAGAGGAGCCGGGGAAACGGTTTAAAACAAGTGGCGTCTTGTTATTGGATCGCGGCGCCTAGTACTCGGACGGCGTCCTGGAAAACATCCCCTCTCCTGGCCCCCCTCATTTAAAAAATGCGCTAAAGCCGTCGCCTGCTGTGTGATTGATAATTGCCCGCATACCCTCCTTCCCCCCCCTAATCTTTTCGTTTTGTTAAGGACATTGAAAGAGAGAAAGCGCTCCGTGCACCTGAAAAGCGGCAGTAATTCTGTGTGAACGTGTAATGGATCGCGGTGGTATTTTAGAAGAATCCGAGCTGTATTGCACGCTTGTTATATATTTTTTTTATGTTTTAACATGACCTGTAATCCTGCGGTTTTGGTCAAGGCACTGTTTGTGTCTCTTGCAGTAACCCAAACCTATATGCACACAAACATGAGGCAGAAAGTGCCAAAGTGTCTTAATTCATCTTCAGGTTTTTATAATGAAGGTATTTTATTGTTGTTTGTTGTTAATCGGGGGGGGGGGGGGGTCGTGACGCCTGATGCTGATCACACCGGTCGGAACACGAACCATGAGGCAACCTTTGGCAAACTTTGACTCAGGTTCAAGGTACCAGGACCAGATCCCATGTTGCATAAAGATCTGATTAGAAACTAGTCTCTAAATATAGAGTCGCGGTTTCATATGTTTAAAAAAAGAAAAAGAAAAACTCCCTGTCTGCAGGACGGGCTAAAAAAAATGGAAAATCCTCAAGAAATCATTACTGCTCTCCTCACTTCACAGGCAAACAGAAACAAAGCCGAGTTTCTCTGCATTTGAAGGAAATGTTACGCTGTATATAGACGATTTCTGCCTTTCTAGATGATAAAGTTCCCGTTTAGAATTTGAGGAAAGTATTGCACATCTGTTATTGTCGGGGAAAATGCTCCCAGTAGTGTCCGATTGCTGATGGGGGAATCCAGGGAAATATTTCGGTGTTAAAGTTAAAATTTTGAGTGACAGAGGTGCATGGGTATAGGGAGGGGGTCTGCGTAGGGGGTCTTGCAGTTGGCAGCCGTAAAACAATCTGCTAAGTGAGCGAAATAAGTGGCTGCAGACTGGCTGGCTGGCCAAATGTTTTGATACATCTTCGCCATGTCTGCCTGCTAAGATCTCCTTTTTTTTATTTTTTCCTTGTACATTTTTGGCCTTAGCAGGTTAGGTTGGTGTCAGGGACGTTTTTTAACGATCGGTTTTGCCCTTCTATTCATTGTCACTTGGGTCTGCACTGGATTTAGACTGGCTGTCCATCTGGACCTTAAAATGTGAAGATAGAGACAGGCATCCAGGGCAGAGGATCAGTTGGCACTTGTTTTATTTTTGAGTTTTCATGACGTCGGCTTCTCTACTACAGCATTTCTCATCGGGGGGTCTGACCCATAAAGACGGACCTCTCAAATCCACACTGCGTGTTCCATGCTCATTCAGAAGCTTGGTTGTTAGTTGTAATGTCTGCCCATTGGTCAAATGTTGTTTACGACATTTTTCTGTGGGGCGGGGTTTGGGGCGGGGTTTAACTCGACCAGCCTATCCCTGCTTCCTGCCATGTGTCTGGACTGCTAATCGGCTGCTTCTGTTCGTCTGTAGTAAGACAGCCTCTTGGATCAGCCTGGGCGCCTCACCATGGAGCCATGTGACCCCCAGTGCGTAAAAGAAGCTGTCAGCCAGGAAGGGCAACGTGTGGGGGGGCATTAAGCTGCATATTTGGGCTGTGAGGTATGGGGGGGGGGGGGGGGGGGCAACTGTTTTTGAAATGTTTTTGGGGGTGTGAAAGAGATGGGTCTATAGATCTACCGGATATAACAAAGGCATTAAATCCCTTATGTGGCACAGGTTGTGTGTGTGTGTGTGTGTGTGAGTGAGTGAGTGAGTGGCAGGTTGAAGAAGCTTTGTTTACAGACACTGAATGGGTTCACTGTCTGTGTCTCTGCAACTGAGAAACTCATCAGTAACAGTAAAAAGTAAAATAACTTCCAAGGCCGAATCTGGTTCCTGCAGCCACCCAGGCCGCCGGATCACAAGCTGCACAGTGGTGGTTTCTGAAGATGACGTGCAGTGATGCTGGCTCCACACTGGGATTAGGAATTCGCAGGCGGTAGCCTTCACGTGACAGTAATTAATTCCACGTGCCAGGCTAAACCACCAGTGTTTGTGGGCCAGGTCGGCGAGGCGGGGACCTTTACGGACGTGTGGATGCAGACTCAGTTGTGTGTTCTGGGGCGTCACCTGCCGGGTACCACCAGAGGTGGAGATTTCAGGTCCAGAGAGTACAAATCCAGACCAGGATTTTGTTTCAACCAACCAGTTGAGTACTCTGTGATTGAGACTCTTTATGCTCAACTGGTTGGTTGAAACCAAACCCTGGTCTGGATTTGTACTCTCTGGACCTGAAATCTCCACCTCTTGGTACCATGGGAAATCCATGTGACTTGGTGGGCCCTGTCGTGAGAGCATTTCATTCTAGACGTCACCTGCTTGTGAGATTGTATGGTTGCTTAGCGACAGCCTTTACTTAGACTGAGGGGCCCTGGACCCTGTTGTACCAAGAAAAACAGCGCTGGCTGGTTATCGTGTGAACCGGAAGCCTCATTGAATTCCTCGATGGTTGCAGGTTCTTCGTCAGCCCCAGACAGAAGGCATGTTGGTGTTATAGACACAGATTTCTAACTGGTTCAAGGCCCAGGAGGGCTCCAGCTGTTGTCCCCTTGAGTGAGCTACTTAACCTGAATCGTTCCAGCAAAAGTTCCGCTCTATACACAAAAGTTCTTTTGAGTAACTTAAACGGCTGCAGTGTGGTCTTCCATCATTCTCTCCTCCCTGCTGTGCCAGTTGCTTTCTTTAAAATATCATCTTCCATACAGCAGGCATCTCTCACGGTTATTAACCAGTTCTGTGCACCATTCCGCCAGGTCTGTAGGAGGCGCTCATGCCTCAGCCAAATAAGTCCTAGCCAAATGAAACCTCTGCTTTGAGGCTAAGGATCATCACAGTTGACGAATGATACACAGTAGCACTGCTTAGTTATTGCATTTCATCTAGTACTTCAATGTGTTGAGTAATTGAGTAAATAACCATTCACAGACACCTTTTAATGTGTTCCCAGTGGTAGATGTATTCATTGAGTGAACAAATTATAAACACTGTCATTTTGTGATTATTTTATCTACGAGAGCTTTAAAAATGGCCTATATGTAATCTCCAGAGCTGAAGCAATCCAAACCTAAACTAAGGTTAAACTAGTGAAAGGTAAACTGAAGTGGTTAGGCTTTTTGACAAGTTAGTGCCAGGTTGCTACCCCCAGTGGGCGGGATTCCCCGACTGTCCCGCAGTGGTGGTGGGCAGGGGGGGGGGGTTACCAGTGGTGCATGTGTAGATGGCAAAGCTGGTGGATCGAAACTTTCAGAGCGGCACAGCTGAACCCGGTGTGTGCAACTATGGCCGTTAATGCGCCCGCATGCCCTCCCCCTACTGCTACCTCTATACC